TATGCCTCCTTTAAAAATTTCAAAAGAAAATGTATTTAATAAAGATCTTTTTCCTTCAGCCGAACATTGCTATTTGTCCCTTTCTGTAAAAGATATTTCCTAAAATCACACTGAAAAAATGTGTTAAAGTAAGTAAACACGGCTGTTATACTTTTTTTTTTTTTAACTAGGGGACTGCCAGTTTTTATAAAAGAGGGGTCAATGGGGTGTTGTGAGTTACTGCACTGGAAACAGTGGTTCATACATCTGTCTTGGTACCCTGAAACAAATAGCTGAGACCAGACCAGAGACATACACAGGAGCAAAGAGTAGCCTCTTAAACCTCCAGGCTAGGTAATGACTTGAGACAATCATGCCCTACGTTGTATTACTTGTTTGTACCTTCATAATGGGTAAGTTCATCTGTGTCTAGTAAACTAAACTCAGTCCCTGTTTTTGGATATAAAAGTAGACTTAATCATTGTTATCTTATTTTTCTTTTTCCTTTAGTCTTTTCATCTACAGCCCACTGGCACTCCAGGGACCTACCTACTTCAAACAAGCTCAAGCCAAGGCCTTCCCCTAACTCTGACGGCTAGTCCCACAGTAACCCTGACAACTGCTGCTCCTGCTTCTCCCGAACAGATCATTGTTCATGCTTTATCCGTATGTTACATAAATTACTTAATTTTTGAGTACCTGTTATGGACCTGGATTAGCTGATAAGGATCAAAATATAAGGTAGTTTTCTAAACAGTGCTTCCTACTGCTGTTGTTCCAGGCACGGTATATTACACCATCACTCTGGCCTTCACAGGGGTGTATCTCTCATCACTTCTCTTTATTCAAGATGGATATACATTAGAATAGGGACATTAGGAGAACAAAGGCCCTAGCAAGTAAAGTACAAGGGTTCTAGAAGAATAGAGATAGAAGTATTACAGTTCCAGAGGTAAGAGATGTGGGAGGAGACAGTGGGGTATCCCCATAAATGTCACTTGATTAACTGGTTCTTTAATGTTTTATAGCCAGAACATTTGTTGAACACAAGTGATAATGTTACAGTGCAGTGTCACACACCAAGAGTCATCATTCAAACTGTTGCCACAGAGGACATCACTTCTTCCATATCCCAAGCAGAACTGACAGTAGATAGTGATACTCAGTCATCTGATTTTCCTGAGCCTCCAGATGCCCTAGAAGCAGACACTTTCCCAGATGAAATTCATCACCCTAAGATGACTGTGGAGCCATCATTTAATGATGCTCATGTATCCAAATTCAGTGACCAAAATAGCACAGAACTGATGAATAGTGTTATGGTCAGAACAGAAGAAGAAATCTCTGACACCGACCTTAAACAAGAGGAGGAATCACCCTCTGATTTAGCCAGCACTTATGTTACTGAGGTAAGTAAGTTGTACTTAAAGAACAACTGAATGGGTTCTTGCCTTGAGCCTCAAAAGCCTGCAGTTTGGGAAAGACTCCTTCCTTTTATCTTTAGACTCACTAAATTAAGTTCATTCAGACCCTGACCTTAGAGCTCACAAACAGTGTTGCTGGCAGAAATGGGCAGGCAGAGATCCTGTGGAAGTCAGGAAGAATAAGAAAATCACGTTCTTTGTTACCACATTTCCTCACTAAAACTTTTCCCTCTTTACCTACAATACATTGAGAAATGTTGTTAGAACCCATAGAAGCATTTTTCCTGAGTGTGATTAGTATTCGATCTTTGTGGTTCAGCCTAGGAACATCATCCTACACTAACAGTGTTGTTCTGTATATTCAGCCGACCTATAACTGAATCAGTCCTTTTAAGTTCTTTTTTGTTAACGGTATGTTAGGTCATGAGGTCATCTTTTGTCCCTTTAAGACGTTTTTATGTCTTTATGTTCTAGTTTTCAAATGGGTTATGTTTAAGTCTAACCTACACATGCCTGGGAATTTAAGGAAGATTAGTAAGGAGTATGAGTCAATCTCTCTTTTTTTTTAAATGTTATTTAGGGTTTAGAGTCTCCCACTATAGAAGAGCAAGTTGATCAAACAATTGATGATGAAACAATACTTATCGTTCCTTCACCACATGGCTTTATCCAGGCATCTGATGTTATAGATACTGAATCTGTCTTGCCTTTGACAACACTAACAGGTACTGTAATATAATACTTACTATGTGCCTGATAAATTTTAGGTGGAAAAATCAGACAGACATTTAATTCAGTTGTTTCAGTCTTTCTTGATCCTAGTAAGAAAGATACTAGTCTTGTTAAAGTTCTACACTGTGGTAGAATACCTTAAATTCTTAGTATGGATTAGAGAATAAATACATACATTTAAGACTAACTTGAAACTCATTACAGATCCCATACTCCAACATCATCAGGAAGAATCAAATATCATTGGATCATCATTGGGCAGTCCTGTTTCTGAAGATTCAAAGGATGTCGAAGATTTGGTAAACTGTCATTAGAATAATTCCTAAAAGTAAGCAGTTCAAGCAAGCCACACTGTTAATTACAACATCTTCAAAGAAATAGGAGCAACCCCCAAGAGGCTTAATTTACCAATTTAAATAGCTACAGTGTTTAAGCCACACACATTGTTGCTGCTATGACTTTTTACCTCCTTTAAACACATCATCTGATGTTGAGTTTTATGACAGTGTATAGTTAAGTGGAGACTGGGAGTTTTAAGCATAAATCCCTATGTTGAGTATTTACATGGCAGTAGGGAATTTCATTCACTTCAGCCACTGAAAAAAGTTTAAAATCACAAAAGCTTAAATGCTGTGGTTTTAAAAAGTACAGTTTCACTAAAGATCAGACATGACACACTCTCAAGTAAGCCTGGTTCTAGTTCATTTCAACATGGTCTGGAGCTTACCAGTGATCTTCTGTTCTTTAAGAAGAACAAGTTTGAGACTTGACCAGCATACAAGTACAGAGAACGTAGGAGGTGGTCACATTTGATTAACCCATTGCTGGCAGTGGGGGCTGATTTAGGCAGGGTAAAGAGGAAAGCATTAAAAAGGGTTAAAATTCACTACAGGGCTTTTTGTTACTTTTAAAGGGAATATGGATAAGCATTGTAACAAAACCCACCAGAAGCTAAGCAGTTTTCACCCCCTCAGAAACCACTGTCATTAGTTTACAAAGTTAACACTTTGAAGTAAGACTAAATGGGGAAGGAAGTAATGTTGTCTATCCTTGATACCATGAGCATTTATTACATTTTGCTATATAAATTACCCAGAAAATAGTTTGTCATTCATTTAGTGTGTTAGCTGGTGGGGTACGGTATAACCTTTCATCTCAGGCAGTTTGAAAAAACAAAACGATACTTCCTTCTATAACAAAAGTAAACAAATCTAAGTCATTCCTATACTGCAGAAGGGTTAAAGGCAAAGATAGCCTCTTGGGTTTTTAATGAATATGACCCCTATAGAAAAGTCAAGAAAAAAAACCTTGTATAAATTATTTTATTTATTATTGTAATTAGATCTTCACAAAGTTGTCTTTTGACTGTGTTTTGTTAACGTGGAATTAAATTGTAGTTATAAAGCAAAAGTTGGTTGCCTAGGGAACAATTGTATATTCAGTTTAACAAAATAAAAGAATATTTGTCTTAAAACGCAAGATTTTGTTGGTTACATAGCCTTTTGCCGTGCAATCACATTATAAAAATGTTCATTTCTAAAGTGAAAATTTCTTGTGCTGTTTGAGCTTTAAGGGTTGGAATGTTTAGGTGCAACGTCAGCTCTTTAAAAAGCAAAGTGATCTAAGATATGTCTCCCTTGCAAGAGGGAATTTACATTTACAATTAACATGAAAATCATGTATCAGACTTCTGCAGGAGATTCTTCAGCATACCTTATCCAAAAATTACTCACTGTCCTAATGTATCATTTTGAAGAGTCCTGGTAAGTACTTCTCCTTGGCAGCCTCACCTTCCCACATCATGGAAGTACAGGTTTGCACATATACACAACATGATGATAGAAAATATGATATAGTAAATTAGCTTTCTAAACTTCGGTTCTAAGTCTCCTTGTCGATACCAGTAGATCTAAAAGAAGAATAATTAAAGTTTATTAGCAATTAAAATTTAGTAACATTTTCTCTACCGATTTCAAATTTCATTAGTGTTTGTTTATTCCCCTAAATGAGACATTCTCCATATTCTGAGGTCTCTACATTCCTCAGACCAATGCAGCCAGAATTTCAGTGAAAAACTCTGAGTTTTTGACATCCAAGATCAAACTTATTCCTACTTTCTCAGTTTACTTTCCTGTTTTCAAACCTGTATTGGTCCACCAGTCATTTGGCAAGCTACTGAAGAACATATACCTGGACATATTAAATGTTAACAGTAAAGGAAGATGACATTTAGATTCATATGATTCATACAGTTGATTCAGACTGCTATACAAAATAGGGCTTCCATAATGTATATATTTGGATTAAACTAGTTCATTTTTAGTCACTTTAGGCTTGAAGTTAGTGGGGTGGACCAGTTCTTTCAGGTCATAGGAGTAAACAACAGGATCAGTGAAGTAGAACACTTGGAGATGTCTCCTCGTTTACTTTTAACTCAGATAGGCAAATTACTATTATGATTTAACAGTTCAAAACAATTGTTTTTAAGGGTTTACTCTTTGATTCTGCCTCTCAAGGGACATAAAACAACAGCCAACTAATGCATGATTGAACACTGAGGTGCCACCACCATCCTTGTTTCTTTACCAGAAAAGAAACATTTGAAGTAAATCAAATATGACAACAATACAACTGCAGCTTTAGATTTCCCAGGAGGTCCTGGTGTTAATACTTCCACTGTGCAGGACAAACAGGTAGATTAAGACTAATTTTATAGTCATTAAAATTAAATCCAGAGTGCTCTACCTCTTCCCTTAGCAGTAACTGGCATTTCCCAAAGACTATTGGCCCCTATATAGTCCTTGAGTAAAGATGAATTAAATCTTTGGTCACCTAAATTAGTCTTTCCACTCTTTTTTTTTTTCCTTTAGTTATCATGAGAGTAGAGTTTCTCTTTGGGGTTACAACTTTGGGATTCAGGAGAAAAGGAGAAACTCATTGAGAATTCTAACATATTTTGAGGGGGAGAATGGGGATACAATTAGAGACCCTTTTGTATAGACCCAAAGCTCTGAAAATTTCTGTCCCAAGCATCGCAACATTAAACCCTCAAGAACATTGTTTAAATTGTTGAAGATACTTACAAGTATGCAGGCAGTAATGCTACTCAAAGAGATGCAGACAGCAAAAAATATATTCAACGGTTTCGGAGGTAGTTGAGGGAAAACAAAAGCGCTGATCAGCGTTACCTGTGTGAAGAGAAATTATGTAAGGCCTTAATGCTTAAGCCAAGACCTGGTAATTACTGACTGGAGTCTAAGCAACACAACACTACAAAATACTTCACGTTGTAAAATTTCATCTGCCACCAAGTTGCTTTCTAGAATGTTAGTAATAAGTAATTATAAATATGCTTGAGTTATCTTAGTACGTCCTCCTTTTCTAACCTTTCCCTTATGAAAGGAGAGAACAAACTAGCTGATCCCAAAATAACCTCATTAAACCTCACTCCCAGGATTAATGATTCTACTGGGAAAAGTTCTAGCCATTTTGTTATTTTAAATATTCCTACCAAAAATGAATAAAAGCTGGTTTTGCTACAACATTATGAAACACACTGAAAGACTTTAATATCATGTGGTTCTATCACAGATGCTGCATTACAGGCAATCTTTTCATTCAGCAGCCATGGAAAAAACAAATTCTCTTAAATTTAATGAAAATGTGTGAAAAAAATGTCAAATTATGGAAAATACAGCTTTGAAGAATTTCATTGTGATAACTCCAGCTGTATTTTACAGGATGTATACAGTAAAATTACTATATACTGGGACCAAGTCTTTTTAAATTTGACCAAAGGGTAATGGATGTTATGTTCCTTAGGAACAAAATAAAGCATTGATAGAAATGGGGAATTATGGTGGATTATGACAGAAGAAAGTGGCTACTAGCCACTGATATTTTTACAAATTTACTAGCAAAACATAATAAACTCAATTATCTGAAAACCAAGTTATCTGACTTGCACTATTTCACATATTCAGTGGGGAGAGGGTGTGAAAATTAAACTAGCTACTCCAGTTAGCAGTTGCAATTTTGTGGTAATAAAATTAAAAGCACTTACGTAACTATGAGTGGAATGCTTATGCTCATATCCTAGCCCCTTTTAAGTATTTTTTTGTGGGGGGAAGTTAACCATAATTAATACTCAAGTTTTTAAAACTTTGGCTAAGAGCCTGGGTGAGGTTCACAGAATAAAGATACTTACTAGAATCAGTAAGGATGTTAAACTGCCAACAACTAAATTGATGATTCGATCCTGAAAGAGAAAAGAGTTTTTAAGCCATATGTGCTTGAATCCATGTTACCTTCAGTATAGTACAAGGCAAGGCATTAGGGTGGTTTACAACAAAGAAACCCAAGGTCCAGCCCTTTTCTGAGCTTTACACATAAATCTACCAAAGCACAGTGTACTAAGTCTTAAGAGTGGAAAATGTACTTTGGGAAAAGGCCAACTAGGGAAGAAAAGAGAGGATGTTTACACTAGAGTCTTGATTGGGTAGTATGGAATGGGGAAGGGAGGCTTACAAATAATGCATGTGCTGCTGAAAATAGTATGAGCCAAAGGAGAAGGACGGGCACCGCAGGAATGGCCAGGCCAGAGCATCGGTTAAAAGTATCAGGAGCCATGCCAGGGGCAGTGGCTCACACCTGTAATCCTAGCACTTTGGGAGGCCAAGGTGGACAGATCATGAGGTCAGAAGATTGAGACCATCCTGGCTAACATGGTGAAACCCCATCTCTACTAAAAATACAAAAATTAGCTGGACATGGTAGCACAAGCCTGTAGTCCCAGCTACTCGGGAGGCTGAGGCAGAAGAATTGCTTGAACCCAGGAAGCAGTGAGCTAAGACTGCGCCACTGCACTCCAGCCTGGCAACAGAGCAAGTCTCTGACTCTGACAAAGTATCAGGAACCAGACTAGATGTAGAGTAGCATTTGGAACTATATTTGTAATACAGCTTAGGGATCCTTGTCTAATCTAAAAGTAGACACTACGGTTAAAAGGGATGGATCCTACAGTGCCAAGACTTGGACCTTGTGATCTTAAAAGATCATCCAATCCAGTAGTTTTTCCAAGTTATTTAATAGTGAAAGCCTTCAGTAGATCTTGACTGAATGAAGAACCCACCTACTGAGCTTTCTTGTCATTCCCATCCCCACCCCAACCAACAATAAAGAAGTATTTGAAAAACTGATCCAATCCTAATTTTACAGGTTAAAGTAAATTTAGGCCCAGTGTGGTTAAATTATTTGCGAAAAGACACATAGCAAGTTAGAAGCAATTTTGAAACTAGAGATTCCTAAATCCAGGTCACTGGTTAGAATTAGTTTCAGGTACTATTAAAAAGGTAAAGTATATAGGTTGCAGAACTACAGATTAAAGTTAGGGTTTAAGACCTAATTAGGAAACACTACTTTATGACCAATGAGAATGATATGCAGTCTTATTTTTGAGAAGTCAAAGCCGAGTCTTTAACCAGTCAGTCATCTGCTACATTGTTTTGACAGGGTCTGAGCAAAGAACAGCAGGATATGGAAGGCAGGCTGCCAATAAACAAAGCCTCAGAGATGGGACGGACACGGGAACAATCACAGAGCAGCAACTGAATTCTCTTTTCCAAGTTGTCCGCTTTTAGAGAGAAGAATCCAAAGAAGTTGGCCGGGCGCGGTGGCTCAAGCCTGTAATCCCAGCACTTTGGGAGGCCGAGGCGGGTGGATCACGAGGTCAAGAGATTGAGACCATCCTGGTCAACTTGGTGAAACCCCGTCTCTACTAAAAATACAAAATATTAGCTGGGCATGGTGGCGCGTGCCTGTAATCCCCGCTACTCAGGAGGCTGAGGCAGGAGAATTGCCTGAACCCAGGAGGCAGAGGTTGCGGTGAGCCAAGATCACGCCATTGCACTGGCCAGCCTGGGTAACAAGAGCGAAACTCCGTCTCAAAAAAAAAAAAAAGGAATCCAAAGAAGGTAAAGAGGCACAATTAGGAGGGAAAGTGTGTAAGAAAGCCACGTATTGGGTGTGCGTGATTTAACCAAGGACAAACCACAACTCCAAACCAAGGCCACTGCAACTGAAAGGTTACAGAACAGAAGAAACTGAACTCCGAACTCCAGAGGACTCAGAATAGATCTTACCACCACCTCAGCTAGAGAAGCCTACACAGCACACAGGAGCCTGAAATTAGGACCGCTTGTTAGGAAAGAAACCCAGGGACAAGTCACCAATCACGTTAACTGTTTCCCACAAGGGACGAATAAGTGTGTGTTTAACATAAAATGTGTATAGAGACAAAATCTATGGGAGCCCCACTGTTTGTGAGAAGAAAGCATATCTGGCTTCTCTCTGAGGTCCAGGAATTTGCCAAACAAAAAACTGCACAGCTCACAACAGCCCTCCCACCAATAGAAGCCAAGTCAATAAATCACTAATTGCCAAATGGCACACAGCAAGTTGCCTACCAGGATCAAAGTAGGAGGAAAATAATGGTAAAAGGATAGTAACTATGCCAAGAGCATTCACCAATACTCTACTTAAAAATTCTGGGATGAAATGGCAATATGACTATTTCACAGGCAGCAAAACAGGCTCAGGGAAACAGAACTTGCCCAAGGTCTCAATACCACTAACTAATAAAGACAGGATTCAATGCCAGGCCTCTTTTCTCCATTTATACTTCTCACCCAAAGAAAACCTAGAATGCTAGTGCTGGTCTAGGCAAAGATGGCAAGTGGCAGATGACACCTCAAAAAGCCTATTAGCAAAGTACTACAATAAATGCTTATCTTTCAAGAATGAGTATTTCCTCATAGGTGATTTTGTTCCACGTGGTTGAATTTATCCACATAACTGATTTTAATCATCCTGATGAAAATATACCTAAACTTTAATCAATACTTTCCTGCCTGCCTTTTAGACACTCACTGAACAGAATTCCAACTGATCTTCATGAATATCAGTTATTGTTATAATGCAGTGATCCCTTCAGAGATTCCCAACAGAGGATGAACTATTTAGGACATGGCAGAAGTGTTTCTCAGAGTATTTTCCTTCTCCAAGACAAGACCTTCTGCCATCGACATAAGCAAGAATCCAAGGTATGCAGAGTTAACTTCAAAAGCCATCTTCTAATGCTCTCTTTTAAACTTGCTACTCAAAATGTAGTCTGTGAACCAGCACATCAGCCTCACCTGAGAGCCTGTTAGAAATGCAGACTCTTAGGCCTCACTGAAACCAACTAAATCTGAATCTGCATTTTAACAAGATCTGGTAATTTGTGTACACATTTAAAATGGAGATGCAGTGCTCTAAAGTTTAGTCTAAAATGAGCCATTCTCGAATATTTAAGTTCAAATCACAGGGTGGAGCTCCTTCCCTGGGGCTAGAGATTATTTTTCAGGGCTTTAGCAGCTCTTCTAGCTCCCAATCTCCAAAAAGGATAATAGAGAATAATTAAATGGCTAGTTAATTAACACTTCAAAGGACAGTTTGGGGAATAATATGCTCCAAATCAGAACTAGAGTACATGAAGAAAAATGAATACTACATTTAAACTTTGCTGTTAATGGAATAAACAAACTCAGATTTCTACTTCTATAGCTAGTCTCTATTAACTCAATTATTTCTCACAGAAACTAGCTCTGTCTCCTCCCTAGTTTTATTTTCACTCCAGTTCTACCTACCATAACTCATTTCTCCTACCATAATTTTAAACCTTGTATTATTGCTTATTTTCACTCCATAAGGAAACTTGACAGGAGACCAGATGGCAATTAGCCTGGATCCTTGCCTGCTGAGAGGACAGGATACAGTTAGGATATCCTTCCCAAAGACCAAATATTCTGCAACAGGTTAAGAGATAGTCTGAATTCATATATACATGAACATAAAAATAAACATTGTATGCACATATACATGTGTATATATACAGATTTCACATATATCACCTCATAAGCCATTTATTTATGCATTTAAACATTATCGTAATTCAGATGCAAATACAAAAGTGAATAAAACCATCTCTACCTTCCAGAAGTTTATACTACCAGAGTTCAGGAGGGCACCAAGAAGAGAGAAAGTGAGCTATCTTGGGCAGTCAGGGAGCGAATACTAGTCAAAACTCTGAAGGACTAGCAGATGAAAAGGAAAGGATGGATGGTTCATGAAAGAAACTCCCATGGGAGTTTGTTCTCCCAAAGACCCATGGGAGAACAAAAGCATTGTTGTTACAAAAAAGCAATGGGACAAATGGAGATTGTTGACCAAGTTTCATGACAGCTGAAAAGAGCTAGGTTGCAATGCAGAGTGAAGAGATCAGCCTGAGCCCAAAGGATTTGTCTTCCTTTGAAATGAGGAACAAGAAAAAGATGGAAGTATATGCAACTGGTTTGTATCTGGAATGGTGGAAAGAAACTCTAAGACAAGTAAGGAATATGTTATCTCCATTTACCAATGGGTAACTAGGTTCCATAAGACTGACTTGCCAAAGGTTGCCCACCTAGGTAATGGCAAAAAGCTTCCTATCCAATGCTCTTTGCAAAATGCAGGCTTAATGAGCAGTTCAAAAGATCTAACAGTCCTTAAACTAATAAATATGGACCTCCAGACAGTCAAGAAACCAAGGTTCTCATCTAATTCTGTCACTAGCTAGCTTTGTGACCTCCAAAGAATTCCTTAATCCATTTGACTGTCAAATGAGAAGACTGGGCTAAATGATACCTGGTCGCTTCCAGTTCTTACACTTTATGGTTCTGAATAACCAGACTGCACTTGAGCCAGAGAAGAAGGACTAATCTCCTAGTGATTAAAAACCAGAGAACCCCTATACTTGCCTGGTCAGTCATTAGCCAGCAACTTGATACTAGGAGAACCTCAAACTCATTTTAAATGATCAGGTGATAATGACAGTCCTGGGAGGAAACTGGCAAAAACATCCGAAATAACCAAAAGCTAGCTCTGCCCTCAGCTCCTCAGCTCCCTGGGAATATCCTGGTTCTAAACATTTTGGAATGTTAACATAGCAAGTAACATTGTATTCGGCCTTCCATTTCCATGGCAATGTTTTGTCCAATTCTAAAATGAATCTGAAGGGCATGTGCTACTATAATTAAACCCTAACCTAATTAACCAATGGCAAAAAGAGGAAGACAAAATTTTTAAATGGGTTTGGAGAATGGGGTCGGGGGAGCTGAGGGGTAGGGGAGAAGAGTTAAAGAATTTACAAATGCCAGGTGTGGTGGCTCACTCTTGTAATCC